ATTTAACATTAAAAAATCCCAATATAGGTTCAAGCCTACAATATCTGGAAAAAATATCCAAGCATCCAAGACTAACCTTTAACATTAAAAAATCCCAATATAGGTTCAAGCCTACAATATCTGGATAAAATATCCAAGCATCCAAGAAGATATTAATATTTAAAAAGAATATCTCAAGCCCACCTTCCCTAATAATTTTGAAATCAAGCCCAGAGATATTAAATTTATAACATAAGACTAACATTTAATATTAAAAATTCCTAATATAGGTTCTACCCTACAATATCTGGAAAAAATATCCAAGCATCCAAGACGAACATTTAATAATAAAAATCCCAATATAGGTTAAACTGGATAAAATATCCACAGCATCCAAGATCTTAATATTTAAAAAGATTTTCTCAGCCCACCTTCCCTAATAATTTTGAAATCAAGCCCAGAGATATTAAATTTATAATTAATGAAGAGGAAATATCTGATTTACCAATTAGTCAACAGGTAAAATATATTGCTTTATAAAAAGAATAACATAAGACTAACATTTAACATGGAAAAAATATCCAAGCATCCAAGACTAACATTTAACATTAAAAAATCCCAATATAGGTTCAAGAAAAAAGCATCCAAGATCTTAATATTTAAAAAGAATTTCTCTAACCCACCTTCCCTAATAATTTTGAAACCAAGCCCAAAATTTATAATTAATGAAGAGGAAATCTCTAATTTACCAATTATTCTACAGGTAAAATATATTACTTTATAAAAATAATAACATAAGACTAACATTTAACATTAAAAAATCCCAATATAATTTTGAGAAAAATTATACTTGATAAATAAGAGAATGTTCTATTTTGTAGGTCCTCGCTATCCCTAGTGCGTTTCTTTTTTTGATTGATCTGCCATCTTTTTCTTTTATTAATGACGGAATCACCACCTGTACAATCATTAACTGAGGTTAGGACATGGCTTGTTATCTAAAATAGAAACAAAAGAATAAATAAAAAAAATAAATGCATTGAACTTGATGAGGAGTCAATATACCACCTGTAAAATCATTAAATATGGGTAAGACATGGCTTGTTATCTAAAATAAAAACAAAGAATAATATAAAGAATATAAATGCAAACCAGAAGAGGTGTCAATATTAGGTTCAACTCCCTAGAAATAGTTGGGACATTATCAGAAGCTAAAATAGATGTATTCTATAATATAAAAGAGTATAAAAAAATATATATATATAAGGCTAACTTTATTTTGAGTTGTATTTTATTGGGCTTCATGTCTAAAAATATTTTCTATAAAAAAAATAAAATAAAATCAATAAAAATAAAAATAAATACGTACCGATGACATGACGTAGCGATGACATGACGTAGCGATGACATGACGTAGCGATGACATGACGTAGCGATGACATGACGTAGCGATGACATGACGTAGCGATGACGTAGTGAGGACATCGGAAAATTATAATATAGATTATCAGAGATGCATAAGTATCTGTATATCTATATACTATATCAGTTGTATCTGTTTATAGAAACTTTTTAACATACATTTTGTTGCACTTTTATTTAATGTTATTTTTTATCTAAAAATAAAAATATTTAAGTGCAAATTTTATCTCACATGTATGAGATATAATTTAAATAAATATGTATCATAAAAATATTAAGACTAGATATATATTTATATAAATATAATATTAAAATTTATATATAAAAAAAGTTATAAATATTATTTCTTCCCCTTTTATAGATATCAGTTCAAGATTGTGAAGGATATTTTTATCATGCGAAGAAATTTATAAATTCATGCTTAGCCATCACGCTCATTAATTATAAATGATACCATTGATGCACAAAACTATTTTAAGTTAATAAATTTATTTAGAATTTTGTAAAATAATTCTATAGATATTACTCTAACTTTTAATAAAATAATTATAAGTTAAATATAAAAAAATTTTGTTTTAAATTTTAAATAAATCTATGATTTAGATTGAAAAAAAAATCTTATTTAAAAATTTAAAATCTAACTGTCATATTATTATTTAACATTATTTATTTTTAAAAATTATTTTATTTAATATTTAACAAATTTATAAATAGTCGCCTGATTTTATAATCACGTGTAAAACTCGTGATCTCTTTGTCTCAAAAAAGTATAAAAGGACTAAATTTTATAATTTTGATGAAATTTTATTTTTTTAAATATATTTAAGCAATAAATGGAATTGAAAAATTATTATTTTTAGTTTTAGAGTTGTGTAGGTTAATTATGTGAATTATAATGACGTTGTACCACTGGTATAGTTTTTTATAGTATATTCACAATAACGGTTAGAGTTTTTTTTATAGTGTATAATTATCATACTAACAATAACTTTTATAATTCATTACTTGATCATTTTTTTTAAAAAAGACGAATTCTGATTATTTATATATTTTAATTTTTTTTTGACTCATTAATAAAAGTAAAAAAATTCCGATTGCTTCCCTAGAGGTAAATTTGACGCTTTTTCAGGGGCGTCGCTAGCCTTCACACTCTCAGGGTGCTCAACTAAAAAAAAATTTATGATGGGCTTCGCCCTCATACCCCATAATTTGCACTTTTTAAAATTTGTTAAGTCTAAACAATTATTCTGATTTTCAAATTTTATTTATTATATTATGCATACAAAATAAACTGGCATATAAAAAATCACATAATGCAATAATATAATTCTTAGCAACTTATATTGATAAAAGGTTATCAAACTAGTATACATCTCTGTAACCATTTTAGACAATGTTTTATAGAATGGACTAATAAGGAAAAATTTATAGGCCTAAACCAAATCAACAATTTTTATAGGAGAGAGTATAAACGACCAATCATGGTGGTTAGAGCTTCCTCTTAGATGACATTATGGAAGCTAGATAAGTAATCGAGAGAATTATTGTGAGATATTAAATTTACAAAAGATTATCTTCCATTTTAAATGATATATTAACGACTACACAGTTGACCATTGTTGTTTATCTAAAATATGCAATTATATGCTCTCAGCCGTTATAGTAATAATCTTAAATTACATAGCAACACAAATATAGATGCTGGTTAATTTGCAGTAATAGCCATGACACTCACGATGTTAACTAATATCATAATTTATTATGTTGGATAAATTGATAAAATAAAAACACTAAAAATCTTTGGAAGAAATAAATATGGAAATATATTGAAGCCGGGAGTTATTTACACGGCAATGCCATATTAGAAATGAAACATTTTCTAACAATAAAATAAGGACCAGAATGATATGATGAAACAATTAAGATTTTATATATTGTCGCACCACCTTGGTACATTATATCTTAAAATAATAGTAGTTTGTAATAATATCAAAAATATACTTGTATTAAAAATTTAACTCAAGACTGTTTTTCGAAAATGAAAAAAATAGCTTTTTTAAAAACACATAAAAAAAAGAGAAGAAAAGATATCAAATTTATTACACTGCAGAATAAATAATAAAATGTTTAATTTTAAAAATTATTTATAACTAAATAGATGGCGTTAAATACTTGAATTTGTTTATATATTTATTATCAAAACTATTTATTATAATATTAACTCTAATATATTATATAACTGTCAAATACGTCTATAAAAGTAGCATTATATCTGATATTTTATAAACAACTGTATATAGTAGAGGATTATAAACTATATGTCTACTTACTTTTTATAAAGAAATCTCTTATACTAAATATACAATTGATTAGTCATTTTGAACTCGGCTAATTACAATATTAAATTTGTTAATTTTCAAATAATATATGATTATATTTATTTAATTAAGGTTAAATAAAAATTTAAATAATAAAATCAATTAAACTTCAACTGTGTTAGTTATTGATATTATATTTTTAATATAGAATTTGATTGCAAGCTGACATAGTGAAAAGATAATTTATATTTATTAATCTAATCTAATAATTAAAATAATATTCATTTAATAAAAATTTAAATAGTCTTATAAATTTCTAAATAATAAAATTATATCTATACATTACTTAATGGGATTATAAAAGAAATCATTCAGTGGGCAGTCAAAAAAGAGTTATTTTTAGTTCAAGGGGATATTAAGTAGCTATTAAAAAAATTTTTTTTTGCTTCAGAGGTCTATTCAAATTTTAGGGGGCTCGAGCCCCCCCCCCCCCAGCGACGCCACTGCGCTTTATCACTGAATTATATTATATTTTTCCTGGAATTACAATATCTTCCAAATACTTCCTGTTTTATATATTTGTATTCAGGTTAAAAATTATTTTTAAAATTATTAAAATAATAATTTAATATTAATTTGACCTATTTTCTAAAATTCCAACCTAAATTTTTTAGTTTTTATTATTCACTTTATAAGCGAAACAAAAAAAATATAAAATAATTTTAAATATATAATAAAGTATATATAACTCATCTTTATAGTGATACCAATATCCCTCCCCACCAGTTGTGCAATATATTACGTAAAAATGAGTAATAAGTTAATGCGGTGGTCTAAATAGAAAGTCTAAAATATAGTAGCGTCACTAGGAAAAATTATGCAGAGCTCCTCAAAATTTTGAATTGTAATAAAGTTAGCTCTAAAAAAAGGTAATTTTAAATATTGCTAGTTTTTTTAAAAAAAAGCAAATTAGGATAATGTTAGCATAAAAAAAATGGTAATTTAAGACAGTTAGCTAAAATAAAAAAAAGGGTAATTTTAGATAGTGTTGACTAAAAAAAGAGGTATTTTAGTGTTAGCTAAATTAGAAAGTAAATTTGAAAATTATTTAAAATTTTTTCTTCTTAGGGATTGTAAAGGCTAATGACCCCCATATTAAAGTATGTAATATAAGAATGCGCTTTACTTAAATTTGATAATTTATATTAATCACGTATTCATAAATTATTAATTACTATTCACTACTATTTTATTTAAATTAATATTATTTTAATGATAGTATATCAATCAACAACAACGTCCATCATTACCATACTTTCGTATAAAATGCTATAGCGTGAAATCTTTTTTTTACCAATATTTTCGAAATGTGGAGATTTGCAAGCACCTTATCCAGAGGTACGTCTATTGATTAATTTTTGTAATATTCTTAAATAAGGTATAAATCAAAGAATCCAAGATTTTACCTTTAGGACATCAAGTGAATTTAGAGTGGACGATGATGACAAAATCGATGAGGAATTTAATTTAAAGTTAGGATAGCTAACATTATTCTAATAATAAACATTTCTTATTTTGCTAGAAAAACTACCGCTATTGAAATCTCTCAATCTTTAAAAGTATTTATGAATTTTTATAAATATAATGAAAAATATTTAGCAACCATTTATAAATTCAAGATATCATTATGATAAGCACAATATAAAAGCAGGGATAATTCCAAATATTAAAAATAATTCGTTGCCTTATAACCCTATTATAAAGACAGAAACTTCTTATAATAAAATTTTGTCTAACAAATTAGTAAATAATAAAATTGAGAATAGTTCAGAAGATTTTAAATTTGAAAGCTTTTCCTCATCTTTAATTGATACAATACAAGAAGCTGAGTCAAAATTAAATCATATGATAGGATTATCATTCTTAAAAGATGAAAACTATATACAAGCTTTACCATGGATTAAATCATCTAGTGAATTAGGCAATGAAAAAGCTCAATTTAATTTAGCACTTTGTTATGAACAAGGTCTTGGGGTTGAAAAAAATTTAAACAAGGTAATAATAAAAAATTATTTAAAAATAAATATTTATATTAGGCAAAAGAATATTATTTGATGTCAGCTGAAGCTGGACACTCATTAGCTCAATATAATTTAGGTATATTTTATGCAAATGGATTTGGTGGTGAAAAATCAATACATAAAAGCAAATACTATTTAAAACTAGCATCTTTACACAAACACATAGAGAGCGATAATAAGATATAAGATTAATTTATAAAAACAAGTACTATTTAAAAATATCATCTTTACATAACAATTTTTAACAATCATTTAAAAAAAATTTACATAGATTTTTTTTAATTAATATAGATATTTAATTTTTTTTTTATTTGTATATTTTACAAAAAAGCTAGCAATTTATTTTATATTTTTATAAAACAAATATCTTTATTATATAAATTTATAAACTATTTAAAGTTTTTAAAAGTTTAGCTGATACTGTATTTTTTGGTGCCATCAATATTTTTTGCATATATATTTCTAATACTTTATTATCTTGAAATTTAGTGTAATTTTTTTTTAATATTAAATTTAATATATATATTTGTTTATATATAAATTAGAAACAAGATTGTGGAGTATTAAGATACAGAATTATTTTATTGTAAGGTTGGAAAGCCAGTTAATTTTGGCAGGTTTAAATATCAATATGTTGAAGTTGATTTTACTTTATACCAAAATATCCAGGATTGATAAGTTGGTCAATTGACCAACCACATTCAGCCAATTGATCAAAGAAGTATTTGAACTGGTTGAATACTCTAAAAAATCTGAAGAAAAAAATTAAATAATGTTTGAATAAAGAAAAACGATATAAATACATGTGATAACAATACTCTAATATCAAGGGGATCATCTAGCTCATAATTAATTTAATGAAATATATGATATAATAATTGACATATAATAATACTTAGATTATAATGCATTCATTAAAGTTGTACATCGTTGAAAAAAGTTGTAGCCGCCACTTTGACTACCCATAGCATTATTTAAAATTTTAATCAAGAGGCCAATTTATTCCTATGTCTGACGCAAACCTTATTAAAAAATTGCCTGATCATAGAGATAATAAGAAATCAAGTTAACAATTTAATAGTAGTTTTTAAAATGAGAACATTTAGACTTTTGCGATGATTTAATGAAACATATTGACGAAATAATTAAAATCCATCCATATAAAAATATTTTGTTTTAAAAAATAATTAAGATATAGACAGCATTATTGAAAATTCTTTTATTCCTCCTTTTGTTATTTAAATTATTTTTGCAAACAAAATATTTTTATATGGATGAGTTTTAATTTAATCGTCATCATGTTTCATTAAATCATCACATCGTACTATATGGGTTATCAAAATAGTGGATCCAGCTGATTTGCATTCAATGACGCTATCAAATGCATTATTATGAATGCATCGTCAGTCTAGGTAATAATATATATATCATTGGATATAATACAAGAATTAGGCATTTTACAAGGTGATGATGATTAAAATAGTTCAAATGATATTATAATTTCAGAAATAAGAATGATATTTTTAATAGCAAATTATGTGGAAGCAATAACTTCCAAACAATCTGATTCCAACCTTAAGCTTGGGCTTTGATTACCATGTTTATTAAGAGAAATAGCATTTTACTAATAATCCCTTGTTCTACTTCTTCACAAATAAATTGGTCGATTTGGATTAATATTTTTATTAAAGCAGAAATAGATTGAAGATCTCAAAAACAGGAAGAAAAATTAAAAAATATTAAGGAAAAGGATAAAATTAAAACAAGACTGGTACGGATGGCGAAACATTAGTTATTTAATTACAATGAATTAAAAAAATATATTACTAAATTAATATCATAGATTCATTTTACTATTAAATAAAGTTATATAGACTTTAAAAAAAATTATTTGAATTTGACTGATCAATTAACCGAATCGTAATTGACTGGTCAAATAGCCAACCCTGAAAATATCAAATTTGTAAATTTTTAAGGAAGAAAATCAACAGTCATAGATAGCAATATGCATATTTTGTAAAATTACTTATATTGTACACGCTGATAAAATAAAAAGGCATTTATTAAACAGTGCCTTACATGTCAGCCTTAGTAAAAGCAATGGCATAATAATACCTAGACTTACAATTCATTCATTAAAATCGCATTTTAAGCATGTATCAATTGAAATCAGCTGGAGACGCCATTAACACCATGTTGACATCGATGATAATTTGTCTTAGAACCAATTCTTAATGTAAGTAATTATTTTACCTATGAGTCCATTATTTTTATTATCATTTTAATTTACTACTGATATATGTCATTGAGTAAAAGAAGCTCTAAAAATTCCTACCTTTTTATAAAAAATGACAAACTACTTGACAAATTGAATGACATTATTTTATAAAATATTTTTTAGTTTATCATAAACTGTTATATCTGAAATCACAAATATAAAAAGCTAAGTATAAAAGATTTTGCAATAGAATAAGTAGTAAAAAATAATTTGAATAAATATTTGCAAATCTGTATTCGCAAGCAACTAACCATATATCACCTAATATCTATATATGAAAGAGTTTTAAAGAATAAGCCCTATTAATTTATCCAGTCGAACATAGTTGGCGGGACCTCAAAGATAAAGCTTTTGAAAATATAGAAGTGAAGATTGCGGGTAGTGTATATAGCTTCCCATTTATCTATTGTTTTATATGGGTGTGGCAATCGAAATGAAAGCATTTAAAATTTTATTATAGTGACACCGGTTCCCTATTTTATATGTTTTAAAATATAGAGAAAAATCGTTATACACCAGATTATATTTCCCAGCAAATTAAAAACATAATTTAAGAGTTAAATCCACAAAACAATATTATTTAATTAAGGATAATTTGGTTAATATGAAATGTTTGGAGAATTTCAAAATTCAAATCAGACTTTAACCATGTTCAATTTTAAGAATGTGTCACACAGACACAGACATTAAAATTATTGTTAGGGGATCTTCAACGAGTACATGGGTATCACTAATCTTTAAAATCTCAGGAGGCTCAACTAAAATAAATTTTATGTGTGGACTTTCGCCTCTGTTTTGCCCAGCTTTTGGCAGGGTTTATATGAATATATTATACTTTTTTAATTGAAATTATATATATAATGAAAGCAAAACAATGGTAATCGAAAAATAATTCCCCAGGTAAAAATATCACCTGGAAAGATAATTCCCCGGTAACAAAATCCGACGAAAATATTTACCCGTAAAAAAAAAATTTCCATAGAAAATTATTATCCGAAAATAAACTCCCCATTTTTTAGATTTCAAAATAAATTATGGGGAAAAAATAAATCCCATAAAAAAATCGGAAAAAAAATTCTCTGAATAATTTTTTTTTAAAATTATCAAAAATAACCCTGCCGCTAAAATAATGAAAATATTTCTAAAAAATTATATTCAGTATTTTCTGAACGTTTAGTATTTATTCTCGAATTTTGAAGTTGTTTTTGAGCATTATCTCTGGTTTAATTCTAAGCGACATTAAAATAGAATTGATATCGGTTGGCAGCTTTAGTACTTTTTAATTTCGTAGATAGAATAAAAAGTATAGATTTGTGATATCTTGGAAAGAAAACATGATAAATTTTTATAGAAGAAATCGATGAAAATTATAAAAGAGGTTTTACAATTTAAAATTAAAAAAGTGAAAAATAAAAATTATTTTAGAAAGAGGGAGTTATTTCCATAATATATTATTCAACTAGATTTCATTAAATATTATGAAAACAGATGATTTAATCACATTATATTTACCATGAATAAGAGGGGGTATTTCCAACCCACACATAAGGTTAATAAGATATATATACATTAAATATGAATATTAGAAGAGAACACTATTCTGCATACGTTTCTATCACTCTGAATTCCGGACAAAAATAACAAATGGAAATTTTTATGTTAAAATTAATACTATTTATTTTCAAAATTGTATCAGAATATAAATTTTTAAAAAATATTGACCCAAATAACTGAATACAAGCGTTTATTTTATAAATGGTTTTATTTCTTTTCTGTAAATTTTTTAAAATAATTCATAAGCAAAATAATAATTATAAGACTTGAAATATAAAATACTCAGTGCTGATAATCAAACGCCTCTGAAAAAACTGTTTTTTGATTAAAATGGTAAGCATTTTATAATACTTTTGGCTGTATTTAATTTAAATTACATTCTTCTATTTTTTAGATTCTTCTGTTCCTTAATTTAATTTCCTTTTCTTCAATTATTAAAATATTCTTTATAAAAAAAATTTAACATACTCACCATTTAAAATATTGTAATATATTAGAATCCAAAATTTAACAAAAAAATAAGTTGCGCAGAAAAAAAAAATCAGAACATATTAAAAAGTCTAAATGACTCTAACACATGCATGATGCCTATCACTTTAAATTATAATAAATCTGTTAAATTTACATGGACATACTGAAATATAATTATTTGAAACAAAAACATTTAAACGGGATTGATCGTTACAAGGTAAAACCATACTTTTATAATTATATTCATTTATATTTAAAGTATGTGTCTGTTGATACGTCACCCTTAAGCTATTATATAACAAATCCTTTATGGGATAAAACGGTTGAGGTATAAATTTATATATTATAATAATATCATAATATGTATTTAGTTTTTCCCAAGATGGATTGCCCCAAATTTAATGACATTTATTGGGTTTTTGCTTACTGTTGTCAATATTATTTTACTTACTATATATGATTATCATTTTTATGCATCTACTGATATGTTCCCTTCTAAATACCCACCAATACCTAGATGGATTTGGTTAGTGTGTGCTGTTAATCAATTTCTCTCTTATGCTTTGGGTTATAAATTTAACCAAATATTGATTATATTTAAACAATTATAGATTCATGTGATGGCAAACAAGCTCGAAGAACAAAAACTAGTTCACCATTAGGTAATTTTTGAATTTTAATGCAGTTTTACACATGATATATTTTATTTATATTACTTATATTATCTTAACATTATATTTATAATGTTAATTTATTGGAACTAAAATTTTTGGAGTAATATAAGAATAAAACATACAACTAATCCTTATATTTAGTTTATTTGGTATATTTTTAAATGATGCTAAGTCTAAGACTGAATTTGGAATATATTTAAAAAAAAATTATATGCTAGCTTTTGATAAAATTTTTGATAATCTTATTATTAAAATAATTATCATGCAACAGGCCTCACCCATAGTGTTGTAGAAGTAGTTTTTGCAAAAAAATAACTATGTAACTGCTAAAAGTAATTAGTTACATTTTAAAATATTTATATATATCAGTGACCTGCAGAGGTACCATTTGTATGGTCTTGCCCAGATTTTTTTTTCAAAAATTTTTTTGACCTGGCCTGGATTTTTTTTTTAAAATTTTTTCTGGCCCAGCCCAGGTTTTTTAAAAAAAAAATCAGCCCAACCCATATTTTTTTAAATAATTTTATTTATTTTTGATTTTTATAGCTAATGATGGTGATTTCAAATATTTGGTTTTAAAATAAATATACGGCTTGACCCAGATATTTTTTAAAAAAAATTAAAATACGTCCTGGGCTGGGCTTAGGGCAGGGCCTTCAGGTCTCTGATATATATTATTATAAATTAATTCAAATAATTAATTTTATTTTTAATATGTTATATTATAATAAATTAGTTATAAATAAAACTTATCATATTCTGTATGCTGGCCTTTTTCATATAGTTAAAATTGATAAATATCAGAGACCTGCAGAGGTACCATTTGCATGGCCTGGCCCAACCCGGTTTTAAATTTTTTAGACCCGGCCCGGATATTTTTTTAAAAAAAAATTTCAGGCATGGCTCAGAATTTTTAAAAATTATATTCGACCTGGTATATACAAAAATTCACTACCATATTTTTCAGTGAGTATTATCGCTTATTATTTAAAAAATACATGTAAATAGCTAATATTTTGAGAATATTTTGAGAATATTATATTGAATTTATAAAAATTATAAAACTTTTATTTATAAAAATGAATATTTTGAGCATATACTTTATTTTATATTGCATTTATAAAAATAAAACTAATATTCATAAAAATGGTAATAATATTTTGAGCATATACTATATTTTTATATTGCATTTAAAAAAAATAAAACTAATATTTAATTTATAAAAATGGAAAATATTTTGAGAATATAATATATTGTATTTAATTTACTATTTAATTTATAAAATAAAAATAAATCACTATTTAAAAAAATGCATGTATAATAAATAGTATTTTGAAAATATAATCTAATTGCACAATATTAATATAATTTATTTTATAATATAAATTTTTAACAAAAGAAGATAATTGTATTATATAATATTGTAAAAAAAAATAATGAAAAATGTTGGATTAAAAACTTTCATGACTCAAGGTAAATATAATAAATGCAATAAATATTTGACAGTTTGCAAAGTAAAAAACCAGCATGATTGACGAAACCCTATACTCAAGAAAGATATTAAAAATTCACAAATTATCAAGAAGAAAGAGAAGCATATCTACCTTTTCAGGTTGAAGATTACTTCTTCTTTCTTCAAGAATTCTCGTAGTGAAAAAATTCTGCTCACAGCTTGCACTTGAAGCAGGAATTGCCAATTTTGCTAAAATTGGAAATTCGCTTTGATGAGCCGCCCACCACTCTAACAAATTATCCACCTTAAATGTTTCATCTATTTTTTTATTTATGTAATTATAATATTCATCATCGGGTATTGACATATTACCAGAATTACCATCGCCCCATTTGTCATAAAACGATTCAGTTTGTTTAACAACAGTCGTAATTTGACTGGTCGATGGTATTTCATTTACTTCCTGAGCCTCTTGTAATTTAATATAATCTTTTATATAGTTTTCCGTCATCTTGCGATCTGTCCCTGACTACATACGTAATTGCTTGAATTTGGGACAGAGAAAAAGAGAAATAAAATGATACTTGTAAAATAATTTATTTCTCCTTTTTCGCTTTGAAAGGTATTACAAACTTCAAGAAGTGATATTCCTTTATTTGATTGTTTTGGTAAAATATATTCTAAAAATTTAGATATGAATTATAAAAAAATATATTAATAATACTTGAATATTAGGGCTTATTTAAGATATTTCTTTATTTGATTGTTTTGGTAAAATATGTTGTAAAAATTTAGATATGAATTATAAAAAAATATATTAATACTTTGAATAAATTTGCAGGAAATTAATAATTAGATCGATCTGTGGGTGTTAGGTAGTGTTAACCATCACCCAATATTATATTAATCATAACTATAATATAATATAATCTTATAACCATTAACTCATAATGTAAAAATTTTTATAAAAAATATTAAGGCCCGGCCCGGGTTTAACAATCTTAGGCCCGGCCCGGATATATTTAAAAAAATTTTTTTAGGCCCGGCCCGGATATGCTTAAAAAGTTTTAGGGCCGGGCCTGCAGGTCTCTGATAAATATATTAGTCAGATGCAGATTCATAGAAATAGCTTGGATTTTCCTAGGAGGAAAGTACTATTATCTGCGGCTTTTCATATGATTTAATTAGTAGGTCCACCTTATTATAGGTATATTTTATAAAAATATTTTGGTTTTTCATTTTTTTCTTAAAATTTTAAATTATAGTTGTTATTTAAAAAATTATTAACTTTTACTTATTTTTCTTTCAAATTCTTGTTTATGGAGTGGTATATTAAATATATTTTGGGGAAATAGGGGGTAGTGGTGTATAGGATAGGAATTTTATTGCTTAAAATGATAATTACAAGAACTGAAATTTTTGTAGGGAGTATTCCTCTACACCTATGTACCAAATATTAAGATTTTAGCCAAAATACTAAAATTTTAATCTGGCTCCTTTTTAAAAATCGACCTATGGGAACACATCTCTGTGAGATTATTCTCACATAACTTGTCTTAAATAATTGTACTAAATTTTAGTTAGTTTTACATGTAACAAAATTTTGCTTAGCTAAATATTATATAGAATTATTAATTAAATTAAAACTTAATAATTAAAATCACATTGTCTTTCTTCTCAAGCATTGAATATCATACATTCAACTTAGTAAAAACCCAAGATGCCAATAAGATCTTTTTATGAATAATCATTATAAAAAACAATATAGCATTGCTATATCAAAATGCCAACCTCTGTGGAATTGACAAAATAAGTGAGTCATCATCTGAACTAATTAATTAAAGATTAAATTATTACTTTTTATTATATATAATGTTATCCTTACACCAAGTATTCTTGTAGATGTATTCTCAGTAGTAAGGCTTATTTTCGAAGAAAAACAAGCAAATCCTTTGACAGAAATGTTGAAAATAAACTATTCTTAAAGGCAAATAAAAATTTACTAATCCCGATTTTTTCAAAATTATTAGTGAAATATATATGATATTCTGATATTTTATTTTGTAAATAAACTCTACTAGCTCCATCAAGAATGATGGGGCTGAGGGGTAATTAGTTAGTTTGTATATGGTACTGAATATACTTTATAAAATTTCCATTTGAGTAGGTGTTGTCAAATGAGATTTGAGCCGATTAACTCAATATTTTAGTCAAAAAAATATTGCCTAAGTCTCGAGATTTCGCTAATAGATAAAACCTTATTGCCATGTTTGACAATACTAATTTTTTTATTTCAGTTCTTTTTAATAAACTAGGAAAATAATATCATATAATGATTCCATATGGTGGTGGTGTTTTTAAGCTCGATTTCAGTCTATTTTTTAAAACGACTAGCTCAATATCTTATCCAGAAAAATATTACTGAAGCTTGAAGATAAAGGTTCGGACATCTATGAGCGTAATCTCGAGGCTTGGACAATATTTTTCTGACTAAAATATCGAGTTCGCCATTTTTAACAATCGGCTCAAATTGAGGCGTTTAACAAAACTAATTCAAATCCGTATGTTCCATAAAAAACTTGTAATTTAGGGATGAAAATGAAGATTGCTATAAAAAAAAATCTTTTTTAGAAAATGTATATCCCAGTTTTAGACAAGGTTTCAGTTCCACTGAATACACATTTGCTGTTAAACTTTTAAAGACATTTAAAATTTTTAAATTCGGTCGTACTTTATAGTTGTTAATGGCGGTAGGTAGATATAAATTTTTGAATAATACACTAGGCCTTAAGTAGATAGAACAAAATTATAAAAACATTCTATATACTCCCTCCATAATTATCACTCATTCACCTACCCCCTTACTGTATTTAAAATAGGTTTTATCGCAAGTTTTAATTTTATTTTAATCCATTTTTTAACATCTTTAAGTAAAGCGCTGTTATTTGACATTATTATGCCCACTCATACACAGAACATGTGGTTTTACTCTTTTTTTACGAACATATTTTATTTCTCTTCTATCGATTATTTTTTTCACTTTTTAAATTTTTTTAAAATATTTATTTACGTTGTTTAATATTAATATATCTTAGGGTAATGTCTCGTTTATGGTAAGCACGAAATGCCGCCATGTCGCTTAAGTGATGCGTAAATTTACAAAATACATAATTTTAAATTATACCGCTATGCTCTCTTTTAGCCACGAATTACCCATCGCTTGGTCACAGTATTTCGCGTTTACTATGAACGGGGCCTAATTGCTCTATTTTAAGCTAGGACATAAAAACGGATAGACCAAATTTCTAACCCAAATTATCAACGTTGAAAAATACAGCTCAGCCTTGAAAAAACGAATAAATTAACTCGCGCCTCAATGTTTAATTCATTTTTCGGCATTCATCTGGAGATCGTATCGACCTAGCTTATTCATATATCGAATCAATGAATTATTCGTATTTGGTTATTTTGTTATTCGTATTCGATTTTGAACGAATCGAATAATAAATAATGCGTATTCGGTTTACCACAAATC